CTGAGTTCAGCAGCACCTTCACCAGCTTCTTCTGAACTATTGGGTCGTGGCATGCGCACTAAGTTCCCCAATACTCGGCTTTTGGATTATGCTCGACATATTGTTAGTTCTCCCCCCCCCCCAAAATATCTCTGCTTCCCTTGCTTCATCTTCGTCCTTAGGTACTCCTTATCTTATAACACAATTTGTAAATTGTGCCTCTTTTTCACCCTGTCATCGGGCTTTCTTGGCAGCTATTACTGCAGGTGTTGAGCCTCGTACCTTTCAGGAAGCAATGCAGGATGCTCGGTGGCGTTCTGCTATGCATGACGAAATTCGTGCTCTGGAGAATAATCATACTTGGAATGTTACTCCCCTTCTCCCGGTAAACGGGCTATTGGTTGTAAGTGGATTTTTAAAATCAAATATCTTGCTGACAGTTTTATTGAACACCATAAAGCTCGTTTGGTTATTCTTGGCAACAATCAGGTTGATGGCATTGACTACACTGAAACCTTCGCTCCTGTTGTCAAAATGGTCACGGTTCGTACTTTTCTAGCTGTTGCTGCTGCTAAAAATTGGGAGTTGTATCAAATGGGTGTTCACAATATTTTTCTACATGGTGATCTTCATAAAGAAGTGTATATGAAGCTTCCTCCCGGTTTTCACTCTGGTGGTTCTAATCAGGTTTGTCGTCTTCGGCGGTCTTTGTATGGTCTTAAGCAATCCCCTTATTGTTGGTTTGCTAAATTGGCCAGTGCTTTGAAACTCTATGGTTTCACCCAGTCTTCCGTTGATTATTCTCTGTTCACCCTTCATCGTGGTACTGTCAGTCTTAGCATTTTGGTATATGTGAATGATCTCGTTATTGGTGGGAATGACTCTACTGCTATTTCTGCTTTCAAATCCTATCTGAGCAATTGCTTTCACATGGAAGATCTTGGCACTCTTAAGTATTTCCTTGGTCTTGAGGTGACTCGAAATGCCTCAGGAATTGTTCTTTGTCAAAGGAAGTATACTCTGGATATTCTCTCCGAGGTTGGTTTGTTGGGTAGCAAACCAGCTTCTTTTCCTATGGAACAGAATCATCATCTTCAGTTGGATGAAGGACCTCTTTTCTCTGATCCTGAGCGTTATCACCACTTGATTGGTTGTTTGATTTACTTAGTTGTCACTCGTCCTGATCTTTCGTATTCTGTTCATATGTTAGCTCAGTTTATGCACAATCCTCATCAGGCTCATTGGGATGCTGCTCTTCGTGTTGTTCGTTACTTGAAAACTAATCCCGGTCAAGGGATCCTGCTTCGTGCTGACAGTGATCTTCAGTTATTTGGCTGGTGTGATTCTGATTAGGCCAGTTGCCCCTTGTCTCATCGTTCTCTTACTGGTTTGCTTGTAACTCTTGGTCATTCCCCCATTTCTAGGCGCACCAAAAAGCATCAAGTTGTGTCTCGCTCATCTGCCGAGGCTGAATATCGAGCCATGGCATCTACTGTGTGTGAGCTAAAGTGGTTGTAGTCCTTGCTCCTTAGTCTTGGTGTTCGTGCCTCTTCGCCTATGCGTCTCCTTTGTGATAGTCGGTCTGCGCTTCATCTGGTGGCCAATCCTGTTTTTCATGAGCGTACCAAACACATTGAGATGGATTGTCATTTTCTCCGTGATGCTTTTCTTCAACAGCTTATTTCTCCATCTTATGTCTCCAATCATCATCAGTTGGCTGACATTTTTATGAAGGCTCTCGGACACCGCCAGTTTGTTTATTTTTTATCCAAGTTGGGCATTCAAAATCTGCATGCTCCAACTTAAGGGGGGTAATAGAATGTATATATGTATATAACCAAAAGGGTTAGTTTAGACATTTTATACTGAAATCCTAATACTTAGGTTTTCTTCAAGTACATCTATATATAGCCGATTTGGCTCTATGAATATGGTAAGGGTTTATGGCCGATTCTTCTTCCTGTTTTATCAGGTATCAGTTGTCCACATAGTCATACAATTTAACAAGTTTTTATGTGAAGTTTATTGCACAAGACAGACAAACTACAAAAAAATCTCACAGAATAAATCTGCCGGTCAACAAATTAGCCTACATTTCATGGCACAAAAAATCTGGGCTAAACTCTAAGCCAAGTTAATCAATACTATATTACAGTCTGATTTTTTATAGATGGATTGTTTGTTTTGTTTTTTTTAGTGTGTGTTTTTAGATGTTTTTTGTATTAGAAATGTAAAAAGGTATATTGAAAATGTAAAAAAATATGTTGGGATGGGACAATTAATAATATTTTAATTTAAAAACACCATAAAAAGAAGAAACAAACAGAGCTAGGACTGAATTGCACCCTCTCTGGGGAAAAAAGAAAATGCACCCTCTCTCTAGTATTAGTATTATTATTATTATTATTTGTACTGTATTGTAATTTAAGATTTCCAAAGATCAGGACTTCTCATTATGAAGTAATTTAGCTGTAAACTTAATGCTTGAAATGTTTCATCTCTTTTTGGAGGGGAAAATGAAAAAACTCCCCACTAATATATTCCTTTTCCGCTCTTAACTTTTTAAGTTAAAATGATTATCCAAACTAAAAAGAAAAGTATTTACTAGTACTACTATAAAATAAAGAATGAATGAACAAGAAGCCAAGAAGTCATGACACGTAAGAGATTATCCGAATAGCTGAATAAGCAATATATAGAAGATTCCCAAAGGCCGTCCATTTTGTTCCACGTCCAAAAAAACCCTCCTCCTCTTTTTCCCCCAAATTCCATGCTAAAACTCTTTTCTTTCTTTTTTGGTTTGGTTAATTTCTGGGTTATAATCCTTTGCTTTCTATGGGCTTCCCTCCCATTGTTTGTTTTTCCTTTATCATCAATCATTAATCACCACTGCTGGAAAAAAATAAAAAAATCAAAAAAATTATCCACTCAATGTTAAAAATTTAACTTATTATTATTCTTTCTCGTTTTTCCCTTTTGCATTATTTCTTTCTAGCATATATATATATATATATATATATATATATTATATATATATATATATATCAACATTCGTATAGATAATACTAGATGTGAAACCCGAGTGATGGACGGATTGAATTTTTCTCACTAGTGAAAAATAATATTTAAAAATGTTTAAAATGTAAAGTATAGTTAAATTTATAATAATATCCTTTTACATAACAGGAAATAAGTAAGGTTGTAATCATAAATATAAACCATTTCATGTTACATGAAATTAATGCATTCCATTTCCATGTACTTAAAAGGGTACTGAATAAAAAAGAGTAGTACTCCTACATGAGTATATGAAATGAAGGTGAATAAAATCAGGTCCCTGTCAAAGAACCAGAGCGATACGTATCAGAACAAAAAGCCGAAGAAAATAACATTATCAGATTGACGCTAAGGCCGGGATGGTGGGGAAGGACCACAAAATTGATGTTTTGATTGAATTTTATGGATTCTATTCAAACATCTCTCGTAAAGATAAAGATAGGAATCATGGATATGGATTCCATCATCATCATCATAGGAAAATATGTATGAATATGTTAAATCAAAAACAAAACCATATTTTGACAATAATAGATCCAACAAAAAAAATACTACTATATAAGAAGTAGATATTTATTTATAAATGGATGATGATGATGATGATGATTATGGATACATCACAATTACATCTATTCCATCCCTTCATCTTCCTACACTTCCTAATCCCACTATGTTTGTTTTGGACTAATCATTCTAGTGATCTCCTCAATGGACCCTCCCAATCACAAAAATCTAACATATGACAGATGTATTCATTTGTGCTAAAATTTAATTTCTCTAACTCCCCAAGAAATAAAAGATTACTTTTAAATTTTAGGCATAATAGCAAAAGTAAAAGTTAGGGTGGAACCAACAGGGTACAAAAACATACTACTTTAACATTAATTAAACATAAATAAATCATAACTGAATATTGTGGGTTGATGACCATCATATTATACCTTTCTTTTTCCTCGAATAAATCTATCTATAGTATATTCTAAGAGAGAAAACAATATTTACTCTTAGAGTACCACATCAACAAAAATCGTAGATGTAATTTTCTTATAAATCTTCAAAATAAAACTTAGTATAATTGTGCAAAAATCTTCCAAATTAGGGTTGTTTTCATTATCTTATTCTTTAAAAGATTAGTAAAATTCAATAAGGTCCCGCTTTAAATTTACGAAAAATAGGAAACCAAATAATTTCTTTAGGGTTGAGTAGCTATAAATTTCCTCCTCCTCTTTTTTTTTTTTTTTTGGTACAAGCAACATATAAATTTTGTCTTCTTTTTTCGTCTCAGAACTTTTGAGCTTAACTAAAATTATGAAAATTATACCTATATTTTATTGTTTACTAAAAAAACTTATCCAGTAATAATAATGAATTTAAAGCCGTCACATTGGTGTCAAGTACTAACATTTGGTTTGTTTTGGTAAGTCCATACCTTAATGTATTGAGTTCTTAGATCAGTTTTATCAAGTGAACTATTTGATCGACTATATACTTGGACATCAAAACTATTTCTGTATCATTTTATTCGACTTCAATAAATAATATAGTTAGAAAAGTAAAATCATAATAAAATAATAAAAATAAATCATTAAAAAATTATTATTTTATCCTGTGCATCGCACGGGTATAACATCTAGTGTTTGAATCTTATTGATTCAACTGCTGAAATTTTCATTCCTTCCCTTTGAATCTTGTTTTTTTAAAAATAATAATATCTAATAATACAAACAAATAAAAATGATAATATACTTAAACAATATTCCTCAAGTCACTAGAAAAAGGAAAACAAAAAGAACCATTTTTCGTACTTTAGATTTGAAAGGTTTCATTTTCTTTTCTTTTGTAAGAACATTGGGAAAAAATAATTGGATGGAAGGAAGTGCACAAAAAAAAAAAAAAGGGTAAACAAAAAAGATAGGCAGCAAAACTACAGCAGTGAAAAACATTATACGACTTTAGTTGGAAGTTACAAACCGACAGGTGAACACTGATAACTGATGAAAAACAAAAACACACAGAGGAGAGGGTCCCTTCTCTTTTCTTCCTTCCTCCTCCCAGTCCTACCCTCTTATTTTTATCATTCTCTGCCAGTACTGAGTTTTTTTTCCAAGGGGCAAAAAAATTATGATGTACTTATAAATTATTAAAGAAAGAAACCGCTGCTATACCACCACTACTCAATTCTTGAAACTTCAATCTCATCCTGTTTTATCTCTTTTTTGTTTTTGCTTCAGGTTTGGCCCTCTTCCTTTTCTGTTAGTTTTCTCTCTTTTTTTTCTTCTGAATAAATGCATGAATTTAAGCGTAGATAACGATGTTTTTTCTCCCCTTTTTTTGGGTTTCTGTGTAGAAAAAGAGTTGTCTTGATGATATGTTTTCTGCTTACTGGGGTTTTCTTGTATTTTTTTTTGCCTGTAGAGTGTAAAGAACAAATATTTACTGTGAAAATTATTGCTTGGTTTTTTTCGGTTTTTTTCTTTTTTGTTTTCGGGGGGTGATGGGATAAGGATCATATTTTGCTTCTGCTTCCTTTCTTTTTGTGTTGATTTTGCAATTATTGAAGTTGTATCATTTAGCTGCCACTTATTCTGCTGCAAGTTTGGGAATGTCATCTGGGCAAGTTATTACTTCTGTAGTTGAAAAAGTTTGAACTTTTAAATGGTGACTTTGTTTGAGATTTAAGCTTTCATTAACTGTGGTCACTTAGAATTGGTCCAAATTTGCATCTTTAGCATAGAAATACTTAGGGTATGTGAATCGATTTGGAAGCTCTTTGGATTACTGCTTAGCTTTTTGGTTACACTGAATTTACTGACTAAATGGTCTGTGAATTCACTATATTTTTTATTCTTTGATGCTCTATATTTATAAAATGTAGCGTATGAAGGTAGCCGAAAGTGAGTTGTATTGCGTGCAATGGCCTGTCAAAACTTACCTGTAAACATTATCTCCCCGTATTTGAGAGTATTATCGTATGTAATTAAGGTAATTCAAATGTTGGGATCCTAAAGTTTGTACTTTCGTTTTTCTGTTCCGTATTTTAGAGTTCCTCTTTCTTTTTCTTTTATGTAAGTAAAAGAAAAACCTGTTGATTTTACACTTGAGTGTGGATTTGGTGGAAGAATAATGTGTTGTAATAGAACTTACTGTTTACATTGTCTTTCATTAGTGGTACTACTTTTGGTTCAGTATAAAAAATCAACAGCTTTAATCTGAGAGAATATTTGTGCAGATAATGCAATGCAGATGAGGATGGGCGAGTGATGGCAGTTGCAGAAGCTAGGGCAGCTTGGCAGAGAACAGTTAATCGCTGCTTGGTCCAGGAGGACGCTAAAAGGGCACCTAAGTTAGCTTGTTGCCCATCAGCGTCGCCGTCCTCGACCAGGGAAGTTGATATAGGTCTTGGACCTCAAAGTGCTGCTGTTGATACACAGGCTACTCCTAGTGTGGTTTTCCTGCCTTTGAATTGGAACGCATCTTATTCTAATTTATCTCCAAGCTCAAGATGGTGGCTGCAGCTTCAACCAAGCCACAATAGGCCGCAGAGGGGTTTCATTTATCCTGAGGATTCAGAAATGAAAACCTTGCAACATGAAATAGGCTTGGGCGTGAAATGCCCCAGGGTTGAAAGTGAAGACACTGGTGCTCTACCTTTTGTTGATGACTCCATGAATGATGAACCTTTCATCAATTCTGATGTAAGAACTTCAAATTCTAATGTGAAGAGTGATTATGGTTTTGAAAAGCTAGATTTCAAACCTATACATAAAGGGTCTTTGTTTGAATCATCAGCCGATATTAATAAAGACGGCAATAAAGCAGTTTTTTCCAAGAAAACTGAGGAGGGACCGTTTCCTTATTCTGAGTCTCCTTGGATTGACTATGATGATAAAATGGAGCCGTGGTGGCGTATTGCTGATGAAGATGAACTGGCCCTTTTGGTTACACAGAGATCTTTTGGACTTATTGAGAATTGTGATCTTCCGCAGCCTCAGAATGCTAGTGTTAAGAGGCAAGGTTTTGTTGATCATGAAAAAAAGACTGGTGTTGCGCTTGTAGAACCAAAGCTTCCTGCTTATTTTCAGGGTATATCTAACTGTAACAAGAATAATGTTGCATCAGAAGGCGAAAGTCAAAAACAGTGTTTGCCTGTGGATTGTCAAAAACCATTATCAACTTCCACTATTACTTCCTTGAGGTATAAAAGCTTGTATTCTTTTCAGTGTCTATAATGCTTCCCTGAGTACTTACACGTCTAGTTCTGGATCTGTTTGCGTTATTATAGCTGACTTCATAGTCAACGGCTAAATAATGTTTTTTGATTAAGGTTTCGTAGACCTTGAAATTATAAACTTCCTATTTACCCATATTACACTTCTTAACTGACCTGATGATACTAGAGAGTGATTAAGGTTCAATCTTTGTAACCACATTGTGGTACTGTGTATCTTTTTGTTTATTTTCACATGTTAGTTGATTGATCTCTTGTTCATCATGAGACAGAGAGAGGACAACCACAACCACATGCGAGAGGGACTCGAGCAAGGCCGAGTTACTTGAAGCACTACGCCACTCTCAAACACGTGCAAGGGAAGCCGAGAGATCAGCAAAACAAGCCTACGAAGAGAAAGAGCATGTGGTGAAGTTGGTGTTCAAACAGGCTTCTCAACTCTTTGCTTATAAGCAATGGTTCCAGCTTTTGCAACTGGAGAACCTCTGCTATCAGATCAGGAACAACAAAACGGAGCCATTTTCGAGTCTGTTTCCCATAGTGTCACCATGGATGATGCTTCAAAAGCCTAGGAGATTGAGAAAGAACAGGCAAAAAGGCACCATAGGTAAATGTGGCAGCAAGAAGGGACGATCTAAACCCGACATCTGCAAATATGCAGTCGTTTTTGCCCTAGGATTAAGCCTTGTTGGTGCAGGTTTACTCTTGGGATGGACTGTCGGTTGGATGCTGCCTACATTCTAAAAAGCGAAATCTGGAACGTATGTCTGGCATGCTGTGTCCAAAACTCTCTTCTGCTTCTCATGTCAGTTTATATCATTAGGGTATATTGGCCTTTAGGATAGTGCTTTGATTTGTTTGTAGCTTGTAGCATCAGCTGCCATGTACTGTGATGAGCGAACTCATGCGAGTTTGTATTGTACAAAAGGGGGTCGGTCGGGAAATAGGAACCAAAATGATTGGATTAGGCTGTATTCGTCATCTTTGTATATATTCGAACATCTAACGTCTTGTCTAAGCGTTTTTATTCCCTCTTCCTTTTTTCGATACATTGGAGATGCGACAGATTTCATCCATCAACGTGAACTTAGAATGGTCATTGAAGTGTAAAGCAATTAAGCAAAGATTAGATAACATAATAATTTCGTCATTCATGTAGATGATGAAAAAGCTCAGCTCAGTTCAAACATGACATGACATGGTTAGCAAGCACTCACGACCAGCTGTTTTGTGGTCGAGCCATCACCTTTAACAACAATGGCAACAAAGATGGAGGTATGGAAACTAGGCATCTTCTGAGTGCGACCCACTTCAGCAGTAAAATCCCTGAAACTGGGCTGAACCAATGAAATCCATGAACGTGAGCTGAATGTGGTGGCTTTCACCAAGTATTGGCTGAATGTAGTACCGGACAAAAAAAAAAAAAAGTGATAAACTTCTTCCTCCAAGTATTGGCCTATCACAGAAGCTGACGACTCAACAGCAGGAAAGGTCCAGCTGCATATCCCCGATGTCCATCCCCGGGCATCAATTGCCAATGGTAAGAACTTTTAGGTTTTGGGCTTTGACAAGAAACAAGAACATCAAGCAACTGTAAAACAGGGCTCACCAGAAGCTTCGTCCAGTCAAGGGTCAAGGGTCAAGGACGGTAGAGTGAATGGCAGGCATCCAATGGCAATGACAAAAACACCATTTACAATGAAGAACGAGCACACTGGAAATATATTTCAAGCAAATGCATTCACAACATCATTCCATTCAAGACTTTGCCCACTTTTTTAACGTCCTCTTTGACCTCCTCCTAGTACCAAAAAAGATAACAGAAATGTAATAACGAGGTTACAATAAATGAACAAATGGTTCCTTGTTTTGCGAAAATGAAGGAATCAATTGTACCTTCGCATGGGCTTCTTGAGACCAAATACTCCTTTCATCACGGCATTAATATCCACAGATCGTTCCTTCATAATTGCATCGTGATATATCTTACTCCCAATTTCAGAAATCACTTCTTCCACCTCCTCTAGGGTTTGGTCCACATTGAGCTGCAGCTCCCCCCTCCTAATAACTGTTACGCTAAAGTCATTCGCTTTAGCTTCGCGAAATGCATCCTGCATATACAAAATTACACGCTATTTGGTCTCATTTTAATCATTAGAACAGAGAGTAAGAAAAAATCAGGTCAATTACCCCAACAGAACACCGAAGATATTTCAATAGAACAACCATGTACAAAGCAGCTATGTGCAGTAAAGTTCATACAATACCCCGGGGAATGGATGCATGCGTACTCATTTTGCTTGCGTTACCTTAGGTGGTTGTGCAACAACAAAAGCGAGACCTTTTCCGAGCATTTCCAGGTGTGCCTGTATAATGTAACACATGTTTTTGCAATCTCCAGCATCCTCAAAAGCTATCACATGATATGGCTTAGGTTCTAGTTCCAGATCAGCAGCCATCTCAAGAGAATAGAACCCTACTTTCTCCTCCCCTTGTTCCTCTGTATAAAGTTCAATACACTACAAAACAATGCAGGTACAAAACAGACTACATTATTATTTATTTAGCTTGCACAAGATATCATTTTACTGTAGTTGAGTAAAACCAGGACAAACTAGTAAAAGTAAAAGAAAATTGATTAGGGCACATGAGACTGATCAGGATTATAACTGACGTTGAGTTAATAAACAGAAAACAGAGTGCAAGATCTAAAACAGTTAATGAAGATGCAGGTACACCACAATTGTTAACGGAAAAAGAAATTAACGAATTACCAGTACATATGGCAGATCCAGCCACCACAAGTAATCTTCTTCCTTCTCATCGGCATATTCACGGTACTTGCTTGCAACAGCTTGAGGGCCAAACAGCTCCATTTCCCTTTTCACCCTATTCAGCTTTTCTTCAATTATCTGCCTCCCCCTCTCTGGCAATTTATCCATCAATTCAGCTGCTTCCTTTATTTCTTTCTCAGTTATCCACCTATCCAGATCCTTCCCCATGTCCTTCATAACGGTTTTGATTTCCGGGTCAGATTCTGCATTGTAAGACTCTAGAAAACCCTGGGACCATTTCTTCGTGTGTTGCCAGTACTCTTTACCCGACTTTTTGCCAGCTCTGACAGAGCCGTCACTCCCTTCTATAGCAATCCTAGGATCTTTTAGAGACAGATTTTGGATACTACCACTTAAATTGTCCGAACTTTGCTCCATGAGGTTTACCTTTGCAACGCGTTGGCTGACATCAAGACCTTCTGGTTGAGATGTGGAACTTTTTAAGATATCAGGAATTTTTTCCACAGGAGGCCCTTTCCAACGAGGCACAACTTTTTCTGGTGGATCGTACAAGCTAATGCCATCTATAAGTAAACCACAATGTGGAGTTTTGTGAAGAAAAATATCATGGCAAAGAACACATATATGTGACATCAGATGCAATCATTCAGGCGAAAAGGGAATTCCAGCCAGGTTAAAGAATTTCTCTTGACAGATATAAACTCAAAAACAATCAGAAATAGTTCAGAAAAATGATACAACAATATAGGGATAAGTTGATTTGATGTACATTTGCAGCAAGCTATCTACCAAATCAACTAAAAAACAAAAGTAGAATTTAAAATATTACCTGCTCCATAGTCAAGGTTTTCAATGTTTGAATGAAGCCATTCATGCAGATTCGATAACTTAGAATTCGCTTGCTCAACTTTTCTCTCAAGTCCAGCAAAGAATTCAAGTTTGTCTTGTTCAGCCATTTCATAAAATGGATCTCTTCCAGAAATTTCATTGTCTCGAACTTTGAAGACAATTTCTCTCAGCCTTTCATCTTTCATCCATTCAAGTTCATTATCATTTTCAGGCATCAATTGACTCAGATCTGTCTGTAAGTTCATATCATGTTTTGTTTTTGTTCTGGCCACTGTATAATTATCTCTAAAGCCAGCTCCCATCTTTTTAACAATTGGCTCGAACTCATGGAAATTTTTCTCAATCCAGTTCTCCCTATTAATAGGTGAAGGAGCTAGGTCTATTCTACCCTCTTGAACATCAACTGCTCCTTTTCTTTTCGTGACATCCTTGCTCATGCGTTCTTCTTTAGACAGCTCCGTAACAGCTGATTCAGTAGGATCCCCCTTTTCTTCTACTTCAAATGCATTTGATTTGGGATGCATACTGACTGTTGAAGAACATTCTGCAACATTGGAAGAGGAATTCTCAGACCCGCATAGTGAGTCAGGGTCCAATGCCACCTCACTGGCATTTAATCCCAAGCCAGGCCCCATATCGGTGCTCTTCTTGTGTCCTTCAGCAGTTCTTGCAGCATTTAGAACAATTGGTTCTTCATTGGTTCGATTTTTGGAGAGGTATTCTCTAGCTTCTTTAACAGATCCAATGACCTTAAATTTCTTTCTGACAGAACTTCCATTCCGCATGGCATAGTAATTTTGTTTTCTCAAAGCTTCAGATTGTTCATCGAATTCAACTGAATCAGTTCCATTCACATCCAATTTAATATCTTCCATGTCCGTTTCAAGTCCTTCAATCTCATCATCATGGGTTTTCATCTCTATAAAATTACTACCTCCTGTCCAGCCATTTTTGGTTGAAGCCTCATCAACAATAATACCATTCTCTACCTTTAATTTATAAGTACAATCATTTGTTAATCCTTCACTTCCAACTTGAATATCCATTTGAGGCACCTCAGCAATTTGTCCATGCTTGTGATTCCTTTCTGCGTGAATACTGTCCCCTAAAGAATCCCCATTTTCAATTTCTCGAGATTGCGTCGCCATTACTTGGATATCCACAGTTTCCTGGTGATCCACAGGTATCACACCCTGACTGCTAAATGATGATTCCCCAGCTCTCAAAATGCTATTGGTCAGTTCTTGTCTATCAAGTTGGGGCTTCTCGACCGATGTAGAAACTGACCGGGCACTATCCTGAATGACTTCCACGGAACCTTTAATTTTCCTCTGTCTCTCCATTCTAGATTTCAACTTTCTTCTCATCATTTCTTTCTCAAAACTGGTATACTCCTGCTGCTTAGTCTCCACGTCAGCTGTAGAGAATAATAATTTTTTGACAGCCAGAACTAGAAATATGCAACAAGCAGTGGTCATTCCAAATCTGGACAATATGGAGGAATGCAGAACTGGTTTTACATTTACTCCCTGAATCATATCGTGCAGAACAAATTTCCCTATGGAAGTAGCAGCATTACCATCCTGCTTCATTTCTGTAGAACAGGATTGTGCACATTCAATCACGTCATCAGGATTTTTCCTCTTTTCACCGAAATTATCCAAATTCTTATACTGCTCTTCCACCCACCTCTCTAACTTATCAAACAACAAATTCCCATTTGGTTTTGTTTCCATATCAGGGGAAAGGCCGACCCCACCACCAGTAGCATTACCTTCGTCAAGATGCCACCTTTTATCAGGAATAATAAAACCATCCAAATGGGACTCATTATTGTGGAGAATGGAAGTGTCGGAACTCACCTGCTGTTGTTGCTGAGGCGGTGGTGGTTGTTGTTGGGTGAGCTTCTTCCTCAAGTAATTCTGGCGGCGGTTGCTGGAGGAGGAGTAGGGGCGGTGGGGGCGGAAACGGGCTGAGATTCGGAGCCTTGAAAAGGGGGGAGAAGAAAGGGGGAAATGGAGTGGGAAAGATGAAGCCTTTTTAATACTACTACTCTTGTTCTTCTTATTCTTCCATGATTTGAAGGCAAATTCGGGAGAGAAAGCGGTGAATGATGAGGGATGATGATGACGATGACAATAACTGAGTCGAATTGTGGAAGCCATCAAAGAACACCAAATTTACCTCAAAAAGACCGAATGCAATAAATCTCAAGGGAATCAAATCAATCGATAAAACCCTCTCCTCTGATAAAACCTCCTCTCGATTCTCAAAAGTTTTAGGGATTATTTACACTGGCTTGTCCTCAAAGTTTATACAAACTACAATTTTACCCCAAGATTGAAATATTTTGCATTACCCTTTTAACCATTTCCAAATTCCAACTTGGCAATTCCTGTTTTTTAACTGTTTGATGGAAGCCTGGATTTTTGAGAGCCTGAATGCACCCATCAAACATAAACACATCTCCTTCGAATCTTTTTACCAGCAAAAAGACACTCTGGTATATGTTTTCACCTACAACTCGGTGGAAATTGCACTTGTAAGTTGTAACCACCATAACCATAATACATCTTCAATGCACCTTTTCACTTTAACAAAACAGGAAAAACGAGAAGATTAAAACTACTCTTATTGTAGTCAGTCAGGTACTGAGAGCTCCATTCTTTGTATAATACACATTGCACTGATTAACGACTACAGAGTACAGAGTATCCAACAAAAGGAGCAACCGCGACAAGAAAAAAAAAATCACATTTCAATGATTTCGTGGGCGACGTAATAAACAACCAGGTACAACTAAACGTCATTGGTACACAGAACGATTAGTTCTTGACGAAGGGTTGGAAAAATTTCCTTAAAAAATAAAATAAAAATAAAATCTTTTTAGGTACAAAGATTAGGTATGCAAACCCCCGACTCCGGGCTCTGTTGTTCCTTCCATATACGGCCCGTGACCCGCAATTTGAGCTCCTTTCGATCCCCACCCGAAAAGAAAAGTGCCATATTCCTCTGAATAATGAGGCCATCATGGCTGTCTCTCACTTTCTTGTGACTATCCCTAATGCTTCTAGGGGTGCCTTCCCAAGTGAGTTTCCTACCATTTCCTCCTACCTCCAAACTGTAGCTGAAGTTCCTTGCTTCTATCTCGTCACCCATGAACCGTAGGAATGCCATGTACACGGGCGCCATCCCAAGTTGGAAAGCTTCAAAGTGCAGGCAGAAGTAGTGGCCGAAACAGTTGAAAACCTGAAGTGGAAAATAAAATGCGTTAGGGTGCCTACCATTATTAGGGGAAAAAAAAATTAACCCTATGGCCAAATCTAAATCCAAGACGCAATTAAAAAATAAGGGTTTCTTTCAGGTTCTGAAAGGACACAAACTGTGAGGAAAACTGGCAAAATACAAGCCATTAGGGATTCAAATGTGCAAGAACACCTATCACTAGACAAATTTAAGTACTAGGCAAAAATCTATATTCAGAGACAATGATAAATGGAGGTTCATTTATGCTTCTGTAAAGACAAAGTCTGTGAGGAGAAACAGGGAAGATGCTGGAAATTATTAGAAAGATAGAACGCCAGGTTACACAAGTACAGAAAGCAAGAAGTGAATAGAACAAGAAGAAGAAGAAGAAGCCTTTTTCCCACTAGGTGGGGTTGGCTAAAAGCAAGAAATGAATAGAACAACAACAGCAACAAGCCTTTTTCCCACTAGATGTGGTCGGCTAACAGCAAAAATGAATACGGCGGAAAAATCTGAAATGAATCGGCTCATTGTGACTTGATGAAATATATATGACACGAAGCTTAAAGCTGGTTGATTGAATAAAAGGCTTTAAAATGAGAAAAGATGATTACTTACCGTTAACATCCATGTAGCATTTTCTACTTCTCGAGGATTGGATTTGACGTAGCGGTGATTAAAAGTGCACCCAGAGTGCATGTCTACCTTGTGATCATCTCTTAGATGCGCAACAAGGTAAGGAATATCGCCCATAACCGAGCACTCTGAGCCAGCATATGGACAGTTATACGGTCTGAAATTACAAAGGCTCTCGTGTTTCAATTTACTGTAATAAGGGAAGATCTCAGGGCATCCAAGTGAGCAATATTTGCAGGGAAGTTCAAGTGATTCTGCCACTTTTTCTAATGCTAAACATCTTATATCGCCCAGCTCCTGTCTACATGTTGGACATCGATTATGTACCCTCACTTTACAGGTTGAACAGAGGGTGTGTCCATTGTGGCACTGTACAAAAAGAAGGCTAAAGAAAATCAAAAAGATATTTACTAAATAGCAATCTTACTCCTACCCAGATTAAAACAGATACAGCAAATGCACAGAATATTAAAGAAATTATGCATTGCCAATCAAGGGTGATGAAAGAAGAATAAGACTCAAATTCAAAGACTAACAAACATTAACCAAAAAAGAAAGAGGGCTAGATCAACTGTCTGTACGTTGTATTTCAATGGTCTTACTCTTTCACATTTCCTGTTCCTTTTTGACATTTTATTAATGAGAAGATGGGTGAAATTGCAGCTTTAGAGTGCAATGGCCAAATCAAGTCAAGAATTACTTAAATGAAGGACAAGATGCGCATAATAAACAAGAAGCCCAAAAAGAAAACACCGGAAAAAATATATATATATATATATATATCTAATCTATACTATAAAACCTTGTTATCCTATCCTCCAGAAGTTGTCAAAGAATCTCAATAGGGTCGAGCAGTCAGACACGAATATTCAACTGCGTCGTTGCTCCTTTGAAAACCAGTTGAAGAGGCTGGGACGTGTCTCCTAAACTGCTTTCTTAGTCACATCTCTAACACGGTTCATTAAGAGAATAAACAGTATGGAACATCACTGAGAAAGACAATGTATCCAACTATTTAACAAGACAAATTATTGGACTGATTGACAAAGTCGTAAAGTCTTGAGAATCCATAAGTAAATCACTCGCGGAATTTGGATGCGTCATCTTATTTTTTTGCCTGAAATCTTGAGATCTAATCCCATTTGGAACAAGTTACACTAAAAAGTTCACCTGCAAAACTTTAAGAAAAGTTCTCTAACTAGATTTCATATCCTTTCCTGCCCCAAATAGTTAAGCAGGAAACAAACTTGCAGGAATGCGAAAACTAAGTCAAATGTGTGAATTAGCACTAGCTAACTATGCAGATTGCAGCACCAATAAAAATGTCAAAACCCAACAGCACTACCATTCCATGCCACCCAAATCCCCCTAAATGGGTCCCTATCAATTCAACCAACCTAACCATCAAACAGTAAATGATTAACATGAATAATGCTTGACAAAGTCAACGTAGTAGGATCACAGAAGAGGTGATATTGCCAATTTCAACCAAAATTGCAGCACTTCACAATTAAAGGAATAAAGACCATCCCATTGACCAGGCAAAAGAAATAAACAAAGTGAAAACTGCATCCCAAAGTTTCAGAAAAATTTTATCAACTCAGAAATGCCACCAACTAATTTGAACAAGCAAAGATAAGAAATAGATGACAAAACGAATTTTAAAAAACAAAAACAAAAGGCATAATTGAATCAGTTCACAGATGAAAAGAGCCGAATCTATACCAGAACCTTTTTTCAAAAAAAAGAATAGAAAATGGAGAAGACCCAAAATCTAACAAAGAGAGAACAACAGACCTGATGGATTGGTGGGTACATAGAATTGGTACAAACAGGACATTCAAGCAGCTCATGGACACTGGTGGAAGGAGGAATGATCAAGCCACCCCCTTTATTATTGTTGTTGTTATTGATGAAGTGGGTATTGATGTTTGATTTTGCAGCAGAGGAAGAAAACTGGGGATGGATATTGAAATGAGACGAAGGGTGGGGATGGATCTCATCATCATCCTCATCAATTCCATTGGAAGAAGTTATGCATTCAATGCTGCTTTCTAAATCCATTTTATTCAAATATTTTCAAACGCAAAAAGAAAAGGGGAAAAGAAAAGAACCAAAATTTGAAGAAAGATCCTATTTTTCAAACAGGTATGATTCCAAATTAATCACAATAACAACAAGAAAGATTCGGTTTTTATGAATCCCTTTGATTAATGTGATTAATTGGGCAAGAAAGAAATTGAAATTTGAGGGCACTGACTCGAACAAAAAGGATTGAGAATAGAATGAAGAAGACAGGGAAAGAAACAGGAAAGAGAGATGCTTTTCTTTGATGGGTTTTTTTTTTTTTTTTCCTTTTTCCTCCCTTTTGGGGGCCCTTTTTTTTTCTTTTTAATTCATATATTAATATTGTAGGAAGGCAAAAGTTGGAGACTTTGGGAATTGAGGGTGGATGATAAAAACTTATTAGGGGTGGTGAATGCGGTACATTGCAGATTTCAAACTACTCCCCATTGGAAGGGGGACTTTTTCAAAATTTGAACTTCTTTTCTTTCTTTCTTTTTTTCTTTTTCTTTTTGTGTAGATTTTGTAATTACATCAAGAAAATAGGCTCCCTCTATTTTAGACAATAGGACATTATTTTTTTTTATTTTTTTATTTTTTTTGCATATTGCAGTGTGGCAGTTGAGTTGACAACAGCTAACAATATGAAATTTTGCAACGCATTGCAAAAAACCAAATGCATATTTAAAGATTCTCACAAAATACAGCTCAAAATACCGTCTTTCATCTTAAATGTGTTGACTTATTTTCTACTGTGTACATAAACTGAGTTGCAGAGATATTATTATCCAATAACTACAACTGGGAAAAATTTTCATCCCATACCACAACCCACAAGTAGTAAAGATTATCAAAATAATAATAATACTTTTCCATCCTTCTCAAGTAATAGTCAAAGAATGGAAGGGGAGGGCTGGTTCCAGAAAATGGCTATCGCACCCATTTCAATGTGAAATGAAATGACCCTTTATAAACAAGGGCTTAGGTTTTTCAAAGAAGAAACTTGCGAAAATAATTTACAGAGTACCAGTGAAACCCGAATTTAATTGCTTTATGGGTAGTACATGTTACAGTTCAATCATAGGAAGGGTGCTTTTGATTTGATCTGAAAGATTTTAAAATCATTAACAGAAGGGGACTTGCCACCTCACTTACAGACTATGGCTGTATCAAATATGTCCTCCACCACTAACTCTGTTCCAATACTCTTCTTACATGCATCCCTCATTGCCTCTATTATTACTTGCAGCGTCAAATTCATATTCCTTCCTCTTAATCATTGAGGACGATGGATGATTTCTCATCCATTCCCTCATGGCACATTAAAATCAACAGGATTGATTCAAGCCAAAAAAGTACAAGGATGCCTTTCAGAAAATGATGAAACAAAATGTCCTCTGGACCTTATGTAACCAACAATGACTAAACCGCAGAGCAAGAATGTCACCCAGAACAGTGTGTAACCAGCCTAATCTATGTTTCAAAATCAAGGCTTCCAGAAAACCGAGATACATGTTAATAATATCCAAGGGTCGCCTTCTACATTCATCGGCCATTAACTAGATGCTGCCAACAGTTCTTATTCTTCAGACAAATTTGCGACGTATAATCTGACTATACAATCTAACAACTAAAACATATACATTACAAGAATGCAAATAGGTAACAAACACATTTTTCTAGTCTAATTGAATGCAAGTGTATAACTCTATATAGTTTTGAAAAACCTACACTGAACATGTGGATATTGAACACGACAATTTGCTCCTTCCAGATTTAGTTTGGATTTTCATATGCTACCACTGATTTGGAAATGCTTCCTTGTACTTTGATTCCTCTTCCATGGTCAACTGTCTTGTTGTAGCATCCCTGGCACGTGTGCCTAGTAGCTTCTGAGCTAGTCTGTCTTTAGGAGTTATTTTCTTCTTTTTCATTGAGGCAAGTGTCTCTTTTTTGTTCCTTGCTGAAGGTCTTGAACCACCACCAGGAGCTGCCTCGCTCTCCTCACCAATACATGAATACATTGATGCTGAAAGAGCAGCATCTCGTAAAACTGCTTCATTGTGCTCCCGAACTTTTGCCAGCCTGGCTCTTTTGGAGGCCTTCTTTGCTTCTTCTACTTTGTCTCTCTCGCGAACATTGTCCACAGCTTGCTTGGCCAATTTCGCAACAATATCAGGAGTAATAATCTCTTTCTCCTCTTCAGAGGAGTCACCATTAGTTACTACATCAGGACCACAAATCCCCTCTGAAGAAGATGGATTCGACGTATTGATTGGCTTCCCTTCATCATCTCGAGGAATGATTGGTCCATGAAATGGACAGACTCTTAAATCTTTTCTTGGGCAAAGGCCTCCCTTCCTCAAAGGGGCCCGACACGGTTGAATTTCCACTGGGTCTTCTCTGTAAATAGTTGCCTGCATACTCAGCTCAGCAATTCTTTGAGCGGGAATAACTGCATCGTGGTCCACTCTACCCCAATGACCCTCAATGTCCAGTCCCCTCTGGTTTGCCAATACATCCCTATGTGATGAACCATCCCAGGTATCCAAATACGAACCCCAAGGCAGAACTGGTGCCTCAGACAAAAGCTGGTTCCTCAAAGGGTTACCATCAATTCCCAGTTTCTTCTTACCTTTTGAAGTAGAATTGCTACATTCGGAAACTTTGACGTTCAACTTGCTGGAAGTTGGCGCAACAGATACCTCGAAGTCAGCGTTTTTGGCAGTCAATGACTGTCCATTTGATGATGGTTCCGGTACTCCCTCTTTGTCGCTTTCTGCTGTCAATGACTTCCCATTTGATGATGATTCCGGCATTCCCTCTTCCCAGATATCATCTTCCTCCTCAGTTGTAGTTTTAGGAAGAGAACAACCGGACTCTTCGCACATTTTCTTCACTGATTGAAGATTATTCCGAATATCAATGAGCTCTTTCAAAGTGTTGTCTCTGAACCTGACATCTTCCACTTCAACCCTTATCAGCACAGAGGTCCACTCTTGGATGGTAACCAAATGCTTGGTGACTATAACCTTATACAACTCCCTCAACGCATCAAAAATTACCTTATTTTCACTATTCTCATGAACCTTTTCCCCTTCTCGCAAGGAATTTAGTCGAATCTGGCGGAGTTCAGAGTTGTGGAACATTTCCATGTCCTGATCGTCTAAGGAAGCCAGGGGAATATCTTCATCACCGTCATCCTGATTTCTAATAATGTCCATACATGCAGTGACTTCATCAACTGTCGATTGAATGTCAGCTTTGATTGAGGCCAGATTTGCCTTCAAAATTTCAAACTTGCTCAACAAAATCTGTTTTGTTCGTATTTCTCTTTCCCTCCTTTCCTGCTGAATGCGCTGGGCATTCGCTTGTAGATTAGGGAATTGATACCGAAGAGTGTTCTTCAAATAGTCATAACCTAATCTAAGCTGCCTGTAATGTATACCAAATGACACATTCCATTTTTCCAAAAATTCAATAGCCTTTGAACGAAGAGTAGTCGCAACAGCCGCAGGGGCCGGGAGGGGCAAGTTCTTTCTGAAACCCACACTTAGAGTCAGTAGCTGATCTAGGTTCTCAACAACAATTGCTCTGAAAAGCTTTGACCTCATAAAAAGCTCATCTATTATAAGCAGCGAGAGGTATCGTACCTGTAACAAAAATATGTTGATAAAAGTAAGTGCCGACATCACAACACAAACAAATATTCTGTCATTTAGGTTCAAATAACCTTGTTTTACGATAGTTTCTTTCCAAATTTCCTTTTACAAACCTTCCCTTTACCCTATTGATTTTATTCTGAGTTGCTCCAACAGTAACTTAAGAGCACCTTAAAGCTATTCTACACAAAAAAAAAAAAAAAAAAATTCTTTGCGGTAAATCACAAGATTTCTTCACAGTTTACACCAAGTGATGAGTATGTATGTCTCCTCCAGCATCCTAATCAATTAAGAGTGGAAACGAGCAGACACAAATATGAACTTGCAGAAACATGTCAGGTCAGCCAATTTTTCTGGTGCCGAAAAGGTATCACATAAACCAGCTTAATGCTGAGTAGTAGCATGATTACCTAGAATGTGGTCCATTTGAATAAAAAGAAATAAATTCATGTCCCCTTGAAACTTAACCTAGGGTTTCATCATCGTATAAGCCTTTACCTCTGAATTTTTCATCATTATTTGCTTCAATTAAGCAACCCAATAGTAGTTTTGAAGACAGTGGGTTTGAATAAACAGGGGCTAAATAAGCAATTTCAAGAAATGAATCGGAGGGGGAAGGAGGATGGACCTGAGAGTGGTCGCGGGTCATATAGAATAATAGGGTTTGAGCGGCGCATCGTAGGTCGGAATCGGAGTGACGGACGACGGATTTGATGGCCTTGAGGAGCCGGGGCTCGACTTCCGGCCGAGTTGAGGAAGTGGCTTTTTCGATGAGGCGAGGCACCGCCGAGTCCGATCTTCCAGCGCCTTCCTCCTCCCTCTCCATTCCCAAAAACTTGGCCGTTTCACATGGAATATGGGGGTTACGACTATTTCATGGAAATGAGTTCCCGGTAAAAATGGAAAATTAACCCCCGGATGGTTTTGAAAATGTTTGAGACACGAGGAAAGGTGATTGGGCCTAAGCCTCAAACCTGAGGGAATAGCAGGCCCATACCCGAATCTAATCCATCAGCAGCATTATTAATCTCATCCTAATGGCCGACTGGTGGTAAGTAAATGAAGCCCGAGATCATGAGATGAATGGATGCATGCTGTAATTCTGATATTTTGAATTGATGATATAGTAGCAGGATAAATAGTTGCGGAAATGAAAAAGCCGGATGTTAGTGTATCTTCTTAGAGTGTGGGTCACACTCTCTCAGGAAGGTCCATATTATAATTATAATTTGATGAGTAACCAAAGGAAAACTTGGTAGTCCAATTGAATGGTGGGGGAGGGAATCTGATTACTTACTGCATCTAATTCATTCTAGTGATAATGGTGTGTTTTAAGGTGACCGAAAGGAGGAGGAAAGAAAAGAAGTGCAACAAAAAGAAAAGAGATGGTGGGGTTTGTGTGCAATGTGAATCACAAAAAGTCACCGCTATCCCCGCCCCTAATTTAGAGAGATTTATTTATAGATGATTCAGATTTTTATTATTAGTGGTGTTACTACTTTTTTTTTTTCTTTACACGATCCCCGTTCCCCATTCTCATTTCTCCCTCCTCTTGGCTTCCCAATTTTTGGATTGAAATTTCAAAAAATAATAATAATAATAATGAAAATGAAAATGCAGCGGCAGCGCTAATGGGGGACGCGAAATTGAAGGGGAAGATGACGATGATGGAAATTATTAGTGGGTGACGCAGAAGAGATCCAAGTACGTTGACACAAAGACTCCAAAATCAGATGGGAGTCAAACCAACAATTATACTTCCATCTCTCATCTCAGCGCCACTTTAGCTTCCGTGTCTTATGTTCTACTACTACTTCACAATCTTAATCTTAGATGATTAATTTAAATAATACTCCCACAATGGGTCATATGTCAGTGATACTCATCGTCCCATTTCGGCTCAAATTGATAACTATCTCGGTATCTCCCTACTCTCATCTCAGCTTAAACTAGGACCAACGCCGCATCTTAACACATTACAAAGCACAAATAACACCATTTGCAGCAATTACTTGAGCACCCCCTCCCCAAATTCTTATAATCAACAACTGAATAACCCATATTACATACTACTTATTAGCAAACAAACAACATGTGACCCCTCTTTTCTTCTCCGGTGTCAGGGCAAATCACATTGCATTCCCCTTTTTCTTTTTCTTTCTGCCAAAACTTAAAAATCAATAACACATATTTTGGTCCTATTAACCAACCACATTCATCCCCCCCCCCCAAAAAAAAGGCGACAAAATTATTCAAACAACAATTACAGTACTACTCTCATCTCTTGGTCTTTCAGAAGATGATGATGATGATGCAGATGCCGGCGGTGAAGGGTAGAACAAATCCATCACTCAATTACTCAAATTTCTTTCAGGTGCATCCTCTTGGGGAAAACCCGACCCGAGATCCTACCAAATCGAAGGACACCCGGAACCCCTGCTGCTGAATGTTGCCGATGATGGACAGCCCGCTGGTGGTCCCCGCAAACGCGAAGCAGAACCTGCCGCTGCTGTCCACCGGAATCAGGTAGTTCGACGCCGGCAGCGACACGTCGGCTCCCCTCAAGTGCAGCACCACCGTGGGCACCTTCACCTCCGTCTTCCCGGACAGATCGAAGCACGTGTCGAACAGTGAGAAATCCGCCGCCCGCTTCAGGTTGGACGCCCCCCTCCGGAAGGCGTCCCTCATGGCCACGTACGCCGGCCGGGTCAGCCGGGTCACCGACGTGCCCGAATCCACGATCACCCCGCCGTTCCCCGCCGCGTCCAGCCTGAACAGCGATTCGGTCACGCCGGGGACACGTGCCCCGCCCACGCTGATCCCCGTCATCCCCACGTAGTAGAAGGTGTCCAGTTTCGGGTTGGTGAGCAGCGGGGTGAACACCGAATTCCGGGACACCGCCGACTGCCCGAACACGATCGACGACGGCTTGGAAGAAGCCGACCGGTCCACCAAGCAGTAAGAGAATTTCCGGCCGAAACGGGACCCGGCCTGGCTGGGAAAGGACAGCTTCCCCCGCCCGAGACCCAACAAGCCGGCAGCTCCGATGAAGAGACCCTCGTTGTCGTGGCCGCAGCCGAGGGCGATATTGGGAACGCGGACCCGGCGGAAAGTGAGGGTCTCGGTGGAGAACTCGCCGAAAGTGAAGGAGCCGTCGCCGTAGGAGACCTGGTAGAGGCATTTCTGGCGGTTGTTGCAGCCGGGGGAGTCGAGGCGGCGGCAGATGGGAGACCCACAGGCGACGCCGGCGAAGGAGGTGGATTTGGAGGGGTCGAAGACGGGGTCGGACTGGGTGTAACAGCGCTTGCAGGGAGAGCACTGGAGCCAGACGACGTCGCTGCCGGTATCCAACACCATGTAGGAGTACTTGGGAGGCGTGCCAACCCCGATGCGTGTGAAGTACTCGCCGCTGCCCTGTGCAAGCCCGGAACTGACGGAGCTGCTGAAGTTGAGGCCGCCGGCGGCGCCGGAAACACGGCGGGAGATGGAATTCACGCGGAGGGCATCGCGCTGGAGACGGAAGCGGAAGAGGGATTCAGGGGTGGCATCGGAAGTGGTGGTGGGGGAGAGCAAGTCAACATGGTGGAGCTGAAGGGAGAGAGTGGAGGAAGAAGCATGGTGATCAAGTTGGTGGTCTTGAAGCAATGATGAGGACGACGAGGAGGAGTCATCTTCAAGTTCATCCCAGGTGGTGGTGGGGGAGAGGTAGGAAGGGGGAGAAGGAAGGGAGTTGGGAATGAAGGTTTGTAGTTGGTGGTGGTGGTTAGCAGCGGCGGAGGTGGAGCAAAGGAAGAGCAGGAAGAAGCAGAAGAAGGAGGATCTCGCCATGGCGTTGAGGAAAAGGGGAGTGTGAGAGAAGAATGAGAGTGGTGCCACTGTGTGTGTGTGTGTGTTGGGATAATAAATAAAAATACTACTAGTGCTACTGCACCTAGAGTAAAGCAGCAGGCTAGCAGCACTAGCACTAGCACTTAGCAGGCAGCAGCAGTAATAATAATAATAACTCTCTCTCTCTCTCTCTCTCTCTGGTAGAAGTGGGACGTAGGCTTTAATAATTTACAGGTTAAGAAGGAGAAGTAGTAGTAGTAATGTGGAGATGGAGAAAAAGAAAATTGCAACTCTCAGAACGGAGGGACATTTTTGACGCGTGGGCCCCTTGGGATGTCTGGTTGGAATGGGGATTTGTGTTTTTGTTTTTTCAAAAGTTACCCTACTCCTTTTTTCTCTTTTTGTTCCTTTTTTTTTCATTATTAAACCTCATTGTAATTTTGCATTTGTTCATTTATTTTTTTCTTATGTGATGTCGATTTATTTACCCGAACAAACAGAACCTTGTTTCCATTTTACATCATCAACTCACGAGTGCATTTTCCTTTTTTTTCAAAAAAAAAAATACTCCCTCCGTCCCATAATTATTGTCCACTTTGCCCAAAAAATTTTGTCCCAAAATTATTGTCCAATTTGACTTTTTATGGATCAAGTTACACATTTGTCCTTAGTAAAAAATATTATCCATAAAATCTTAGTGGTTAAACAATTATTTATGTAGGGGTATATCTGGTTGTTTAAGGTAAAATATAGTTAAGTTTGACCAAAAATAAAATCTTTCATTTTAGTAAAACTGGACAATAATTATGGGACGGAGGGAGTATATACTAGATATTATACTGCACAATGGGCGAGACAGAAAAATATAATTTGTGGTTCTTTTTTTGCATTTGTTATAATTTTTTTTTATGGATGTTATTAATTCACTCATAAAAGAGAATACTTATTACTTTATTCATTTCAAGATAACAGTTTAGTGTGTTGCACTTATTTTAATATGAGGGAAGTATAGCCTCAACCTAGGCATGACCACGGTCCGTCGGTTCATGAACTGGACCGAAACCATAGAACGCAGTTTATAAAATCGTCCATCTAGTCAAGGGTCGGTTACGGTTCTAGTATTTGAAAATCGTAAACCGACACTTCATACCAGAAGTTTTGAACTGACGGTTCAGACCGTCATAACCTGTCTATTAACCTTCATTTTTATAAAAATTATTGAAAATTTCTAATTAGAAGTTAGTTTTTTATGTAATTTTTAATTTTTTTATATTTATGTTTTTGTTATTTTTGAACTATTAGTAAATGTTATAGAAAATTGCAATGACAATCGATTAAGTAATTGTCTATTGGAATTCTACTAAGTTTTAAACAGTATCTTATATACTACTTTCTTTTCAAAATAAAACTCACTTTCTATTTGAGGTTGCACTAAATTATGAATTCATTTTGTTTTTCAATGCATAATTTCATAATTTCTTCTCAAATTATCATGGCATTTTAAATAGTATTTATAGAATTTTAATACACCATTAATTAAGTTAAGTGGTTGACCTAATTAATTTTAGGTAAAAGATATTTTGTTTCATTTATTAATAATCGACTCTTAGTTCTTTTTGTGCCACTCAAAATAAACTTATATTTTTTTATTAAAAAAGACAATACTTATTTTTAATTATTAAAATCATGGGAAACCCGAATATGTCATTCTATATTTAATCATTAAAAATTTAGTTACCCATGCTACTAAAGAAATTTCTAATTTTATTTTTCTTATGCACTTATTTTTTTCATTCAATCAATTTCTTTAGTTTTATTTTAACATAAAAATTAAATAGTATTAAATTGAATTACAATTATACAAAAATCTAATTGAACCCGTAAAATATCGGATTGAAATTATCAACAACACAAAGTAAAACCGTCAATAAATCGAAATTGAAACCATCCGAAATTGCGTTGGAACCGAAAGTTTGTAAATCCAAACCGTAACCGTAACTGTAGACTTTGGAGCTGGTTAAGATTCATATATTTCTTGAACCGTGAACTAGGGATTTGAACCGTGCTCATACCTACCTTAACCATCTGAAGAAAAAAAATCAATAGGGGTACAACTAAAATGAAAAAAGATAACCACATTAAAAATAATATATTTTAATGGGAATAATATATTATATTGTCCTTTATAACTTTTCAAGCCAAGAAAATAATTTGTTCATGTACTTCTTTCTATTAAGATACAATGTGACGACCCAAGTCTCCAGCTCGATTAAAACTCGTGTCTGATGACTAAATGAGTCGTCCGCCGGACGATCTCTCGCCTAAGGCTTTGTGGAACAGAACTAATTAAGCTATTACATGTTCAAACTTCTAAATTTTCACAGCGGAAGACTTAACTATAACAGAAGATGTTTCCAAAATTTAATACAATCATGTACAACTTAGAGTAAACAAATTCTAATACAATTTAAGTCACAAATAATTTAGATTAAAGAACAGCCAAATGGTTATTTCTTTATCACGCCAAAGCTTTACGGAAACTTGGCTCACTTGCTAACCTGTGGTGGAAAAATTATTGGGATGAGCTAAAAGCACAGTGAATACCTCAGACAACAACTCCCATTCTCTCGCGCTCCATACGGTAATCAAGTCACATACACATGCAGTTATTCACACGATTCATTTTTATCCATTTTTATTTAATTAGTGAAAGAGCGTAAGCAGTTCTATTATTCTAGTTCATTGAATAAGTACAATGGATGAACTGATGTAGTAAACTACATCTGTAAAAGGACTAGTCAATCACACATTATCACAGAAAAGATGACCTTAGCCAAGATCATCAACAAATTCATGAAAGGATACGGGTGGATCATAACTGAAAAACTGCCAAAGACCTATGTGGTCCAATAGGCCGTCCTCCAAGCTAGATTCCAATCAAGGTTCAATAAATTCAAGTTCATTTATAATAGGTTTCAAGTCCATTAACAATTACCTGTCCATCAACAATCAAGTACTCGTAGCTCGTGCACGCCTACTAAAGCTATCCATAGTCTATCCATACGTCTGTGCCCAATGCCGACCCGTTGGATTCGATCTATGGTAGCGGGGCCCCGAGACTGGTGTGATAATGTACACATCCAAGTCTCAATAATTTAATGGCAATTCATACACAAATATTCTTTTACAGGACAAGTCGTCTCAGTCATTTATATCTCGGAGTGATAAAGTACACAAACGAGTAGTAACAAGCAATTCAATTCAATTGGCACGTAGCCAAACAGTAACAAGACATTCACATATCAAGAAGTTCAAATATTAACACCGAGCTTGCAATTCATTCAAAAACACATAGACAAATAATAGCAATACAATCACGTATCACAGGTTCATGTAGTAGCTCAAAGCTCGCACTTCGATCAAGTAAAACCACATAAGCACTCAACAGTCATGCACTGAGAGGGGGAGACAAGGTTACAATATAGAGCGTGAGAGGAGGTACTCACCTTTTAGGCTTATGAAGTTCGATGACATTATCTTGAGGATCTGTTAATCAAACAAATGTTTATGGATCATTGTCCAATGCTAAAAGAAGTGGCAAATGGTCCTATTATGTGTTTCCTTGTTTCTTAAATTTTACTACATGTTTGCTAAATCTTGGCTAGACCTTTCTAACAAATAAGAATTTTTCATTATCATGTTGGAAGGTAGTAGGTAACTTGAAGATATTTAGAGAGTAAAATGATAGCCTTTTAATATATAAATTTCAGAAAGCGGAAGTTCTAATCATCAATTCTCCTAATGCCTTTGTACAAGAATTAAGATGTCCTTTTTCCTAATCCAAGAGTTCTAATATGAACTCTGATGGACAAGAGTAAAAGCAAAGGGCATCCTACAAGAAAAGAAAAAAGAATGATCTCCGAAAACCATAGTCCTAATTCAGCTACTCCAAATCGAAAGTTCAGAATATCCAACAAAAGAGTGGCTACGGGGCTATATTCAAAACGCGGATTCGACCAAACCAAATATCCGATTCACGAGCCGTCAAAACTTATAATCTAGATAAACAAGGAATATTTTTAACCAAAGAAATCAAGAAAAACAGTTTAGGCTCAGAAGAAAATTGATCTGTAAATCAACACCTTAAATCAGTTTGTTTAAGCAATTCCAGACTTGGTTTCTCAAGTTCAAACCTGATATTCAGACAATCCATAAAACCAATTTGCAATTTGAAAATCTTGGAATAAACTTCCACATTCGTAGAAGACATTTGCAAAAAGTTCTTTAAAACAGTTTAAGAGAAGGGAGAAACGAATCTCCGAAAACAGCAACCCAGCACAGATTTTCAGGAAACGCTTGTCATGTTCAAATCAAAATTTTGGTTAATCTACAAATCTGTTTTGAAATCCGTAAAAATCACAGTAAAGTACACTGAACGTAGAAGATACTGATAAAAAGAAATTATAGAAAAGTTTTTAAGAGCTAGGAGAAAACGGCCTGCCAACAGAGACCCAAATCTGAAATTTTCTGCACTTTTGAAAATGATCAATAAACTCTTCTTTCAACGTGTAATTTTTCCATGGTGGCTTACACCTCTAAACCAACATCAATTCTCTGTTCTATCTGAACCAATAGACCATACTTAGACTAAAATAAACAATCATTAACATCGATTCATAGCATGGAACGTTGAATCTAAAGAGTTAGCTAAATGACTATCTCTCCTAATTCACCAAACACTCGATAGTTTAAACTAGGAATTGATAGTTAAATGCTTAGATTCCTTACCTCTTATGGCTGCAAATACACGAAGCTATTGAGCCATGTTGCTGCTACTCATAAGCCGAACCGAATTGACTTTAAGGATCCTTACTTCTTTTCCCCATATTTCTATCTCCCTCTCTCGGCCTCTTCCTCTTCTCCCCAACAATCACCTTCCTCTTTCTTTCCTTATTATGCTAAACTAGAGTGAATAGACTATGGCAAGACAAGGGGGCTGTTGATGGTGGCAGTTTGACAGTGGAAGCAGAGAACTTCGGGAGGTGGATTTAGGCTGAAATGGAGGTGGAGGAATAGTGAGTCACCTAAGGCAGTAGAGGATTGAAGGTGAGTCAAGGTTCTCCGACGGTGTGGTGTCGACTTGTGAGGGTGTGGGGAGTGTGATGTCATTCAAAGACGGGAAATGAGAACGGTGGGGAGGTTTTGACAATTTTTGTTTTCTTTAGTCAATCCCTCAAGTATATAATTTTGTCAAACAAATCCCACTTTTATTATTTTCTACACCATGGTCTTATGAAGATTTATTAATCTATTTGATTTTAATGCAGTTAGTTTGAATCTAGTTGCAACTTCATATAATTTTTCTTTGTGTGTTTTCCGAATATTATGATTAAATTTGGGTGTCTTATTTTATTTTATTTTTTATTTATTACCGTCAACGATAATATGTGACTGAAAACTATTGCCATTTAGTATTAGACTAGATACTTATTTTTCTATTACACTCAAGCAAAGAGGTCCCGGATACGG